ATTTTTTGTGAAATTACTCCACTAGTTTGTTATAATTATTAATACAAAGATCGAACACTCAGAAAAAACACTCAGAAAAAATTCCTTCGATCCGGTCGGATTCGAACCGACATCTTCTTGCATACCGTGCCAGACGCTATACCAACTAAGCATTTACCATACCAACTAACATTTTTTCTAAACTCTTAAACGTCCATGATTCTCACATGGTTCAAAATATGCAAGTGTTTCAGAAGCTTTTTGTTTCTTCATCCATTAAAGATAGAGAAAGTGATACTAGACTTATTGCTTTATACGTTGTAACAGCGACATTTTATTTTCAGAGCGTCAATTTCGTTTCTCGAGTCGCTCATCCCTCGTCTGGACGTTATCTGGAGCTATATAGCAATCAGCCAGGGGTCCAGCTCTACACTTCGAATTTCCTGCCTGCTCCTTCAGAGCCGGCTCTCATCGGCAAACACGGTATTGGTTATAGGAGACATGGAGCCTTCTGTTTGGAGACACAGAAATTTCCGGATGGTGTACATCACGAGCATTTCCCGAGAGTTGTATTGAAGCCTGGAGAAGTGTATGACCACAAAGTGGTATATATCTTTGGCGTACAAAAAAGCAGTGAACCGCTTGTTGTTACTGTCTAGATCGTTTTAAAGGCTGATGAGTTACACGTTGGTCCTTGCATTATTGCAGAATTTTAATTAACTAATTTCTTCTGTTTGCTACACGACTGTCAAACGTTAAACGTGGCGATAGTCGCCACAATTTTAGGTTCCAAAAGTAATTTGTTAGCTTTTAGATGTGTAATGTGTAAACATACGCATCTATCAAACATATCTATCAATCGACTCTTTTCTATGCAATTTTTTTTTGTTAAACTTGTGACCAGAACATTTTGTTATACCTACAGAGTATACAAGCAGCTTGAAGCAGCTTTTGTTCAGGCAAGAGCAAGTTTCGCTTGACACTTCTGACTTCGGATCTTGCTTACTGCAAGTGGGCAATGATTTGAATTTAAATCTTAAGTATCAAACTTAACGGGCTCTTGTAGCTGTACGAATAATTATAATTATTACAACTCATAGTCGAAAACTATCATATCATAAGTATCGGATTACCTTGTACCCGGATACCCTTTACATATCATTCTTTACAAAAAAGTTCTTATTGCAAAAATTATTATATTATTACAAATGAAATGCTCTGTCTTAGTTGTTTTTGAAACCGTTAAACATGACAGTTGAATAAAAGCGATATACAAATGTTAGTAAACTTTAAGTATTTCGACATAATCACCTTCAAGTTTTATTAGATTATCATACAGGTAAAAAAACATTGTTTACTCGAGTTGGTTAAGAACTAAAACCCGGTACAAAACAAAATTATTTCAAAAAACTGGTTTACGACTCGCTGAATTAGATTCCTGATTTCTGAAGATTATTTTATTAAACAAATTGTATTGAATTTAATTAAACAAGTTTTTACATTATATCGGGTTTTCTTTAAAATTCTATCCATAGTAACCTTTTTTATGCCAGGTTACCTTCGTAAGACGATCCTTTATAATTAAACCTTTGCACCGAAGCTATACGTAACCCTATGCGAATATACGTCACCAGGTACAAGAATAGGGCTTGGAAATTCAAGGTGATTGATCGCATCCACCAAGTTCATAGTTTCAAGGCACAGTCCCCCATAGCGCCCATATAATACACCTCCCTTCCCAATCATGTCTGGATGACCAAGACCGTGTATGTAATTTCCTGTGAAGAATATTACACTGGGTTGATCGCTGTGGATTTCCATGAATCGACCGGTAGGAGGGTGTTCTGCTCGAGCGACAAAGGTGAAGTCCTGAAATGGAGCAGGTCAGTGAGTTTTTCTGGTATTCGTGGTTTGTTTGAGGTGTCTACTAATTACAGTGTCATCACAGCGATTATACCAGGGCGCTTCCGCCACTAAAGATGATAACCGAGAAGAAATAACGACGATAGGTTTTTTAAGCGTTTCCCTCAACGTTTTGGCATATTCTGGTTAGTGTTATAAGTATTTCTGTGACACAAATCTGGTGTAAAGAAGGGAATTGTTTTTCTCTAATGCAAATACAAGAGATGGTGATGAAATTACAGCATTGCGTGGAATACGCAATACATATTATGAATTTCAGAAACGTTGTAATAGGCTAGGGGCTAAACAAATACACAACATTTCTGAAATACATAATATTTCTGAATTGATCCTAACGCAAATTACATTAATGAGTCACTTAAATGTTGACTGACCTGTCCACTATTCCGATTTAAAACAAAATTTTGATGAAATCGGAAAGAATCGGCATCGTTACTTATGACGTCGCCAAGGCGTCTCGGAGTGCGAAGGTCGAATGGAGTCCTGCCTACCTTTAGGAAATTTACCCGTAGGCACCCATTCGGTGTCGCCTTCGAGTACCCTGAAAAATTAGAAGTAAGTGTATGTTTCATTAAGTTATACAACAGCTGACAATTCGATTACGAACCCTGATCATGATTTGAAATTTTGCGGAGCTAATTCTTCTATTATTAATCCCTATTCTGAGAGCCAAGACAGGATATAACCCGAGAGATGCGCTTATAAAGGTCGTGATCATTTTTAAAAACTTACCCTATCAAACCCACTAAATCCTCCATGTAAATGATGGCTGCCACAATTCTTCGTGAGTTCATATTCAACGTCATCGATCTTGAAGGTGCCTCTTGCAATTCTGCCAACGCACCTTGCGACTGCTCCACCGAGAAGATCAGGTCTGTTCAAGGTTAGGTAGCTTTCTAGATCTTCGAAACCGAGTGCTATATCTTTGATCTCGCCATGCTTGTCTCTTACCTATTGTATAATAAATGTTCATATAAGTTTCTTTGTAATACAATCGCTGGTGGTATATGTGTAAGAGTTTCTAAAAGAGGAGGCTTTGCCAATGCCTCTACTCTCTATTTTTAAATCAACAAAATAAACGCCCTATGCTAAACAGCTTGTGGTGACAAATAGCTGAAATGCTGACGTAGGCTTGTATATAAACTTCAAAACCGGTTGACCAAAGTTTTAAGCCAGTCTAGAGGTCAAAAGTAGGTTGCTTAATGATAGTAATCTCGTGTTGCGAAGTTTTGGATTAAAAAATCCTGTATACGGGTTGGTGATCACAGTATGGTTCGTATCTTGTGAATGTCCTTCAGTTGATTGCGGAAATAATAATGATTTATTTAAACCCCTTATAGAACATGTGGTTCTACTCTTCTGAAAAACTATGGACCCATCTCGCTCCTGAGTTGTATACAAGCTGTTCTCGAGGATTATCACACACACATACCTTGAGAAAAATTATTCAGAAGATCGAAGAATATAACCGACTCTTGTGCCTAGCATATGTGGATTACGAAAAAGCCTTCGACACCATCGAGATCTGGACTGTTTTGGTGTCCTTGCGGAATGTCAGATTGACTGCCGTTACATCGAGATGTTGAGAAGTCTTTACGTTGTAGCCACGACAGAGCATAAGACCAATTAAACAGCGTCGTGGAGTGAGATAGGGAGATGTCATCTCAAACTGTTAAGTAACGCGTTGGAGGACGTCTTCAAATGCTCGAGTGGGAGGGACGGGGCTAATACATCAACGGACAGTACATCTCACACCGTCGATTTCCAGATGATATTGTTATTATGGCGGTATCCCTGCAGGAGCTCGGCGAGATGCTGAACAGCTAAAACGACTCTTCACAGCAAGTAGGCCTCAGGATGAACGATTAGAAAGCGATGTTCAACGCACATGTGACCCTGGGACTTGTAATCGGAGGTGGGGCTACTCTTGAGGTTGTGCATAATTACGTCTACATTGGCCAAAATATCCACCTTGGCAAGCACAACTTCGAGAAGGAAACTGAGAGGAGAATTCGTTTGGGCTAGGCGGCATTTGGGAAGCTTAGCCGCTGCTTCAGGTCATCAATCCCACAAAGCCTAAAAATATTTAAAAGCATTTAACCAGTGCGTTCTACCAGATGTCTTACGCAGCCTACATGTGGACGTTAACAACAGGCCTCATCCACAAATTCAAGGTCGCTCAACGTGTGATGGAGCGAGTTACGCTCGGGGTTTCTCTGATGGACCGAATTCCTAACGAGATCATACGTCAGAGAAATAAAGTGACCGACATAGCTCGCAAAATCAGTAAGCTTAAGCAGCAGAGAGTCGGGTTGATCGCCGATGGAGCAGACTTGTTCTGGAATGGCGACCATGTCAACCAAAACGTAGTGTGGGACGCCCTGCGGCAAGTAGGACGAACGACCTGAACTAGGTGGCCGGCAGCGGCTAGATGCGGGCGGTACAAGACCGGACAAGAGTTGGTGTGCTCAAGGGGAGGCTTATGTCCAGCAGTGGAAGTTGATGATGACAGAACATGTGGTATTACAAATTGTAATTGTGGAGAATATGAACTTAACCCAAATTTGGGGATTTTGACCTTGATTTTTGGGGATTTTGAATAATAGGCATTGGCAACCCTGATTGCAATACAACGTATGGTTTGTTAGTATTTACTCAAGGGTGTCTGTCCCCTGATTTTCAAGCTAGGCGAATCTGTGTTATGAAAGTCAGGGGTTCCTAATTGTACGTAAAATACTGAATAAAATATAATGTAATGAATAGACAAAAATTGCAAAATAGGTTTTGATTAATAATAACAAAAGTTAGCCTATATGTAGTCCCACTGCTGGACACAGACCTCTTTTTACAATGAGAGGGCTTTAGTTCCCATTAGAATATAGTTAAAATTTTAATTTACTCGTGCGTTTTTACTACAAGTTATTATAACTACAGCAAAGCTTTACTTTAATAGCCTGTATAAATAGCTCCATAAGCAATAACAGAGAGGGCTAAACCGCTGTCAGTCTGCCATGTTTATTTCTTTACTACTTTGCCATTTGTAGACCCGAAGTCGCTTTCTGTTATGGTTACTCCGTTGACGGCTGGAAAACGGTTGTTTGAGATAAGAAAATATACATTTTTATTTCTTCCCACTACTAGGCACGGGTCTCCTCTCCGGCGAGGGTTTAGGACATAGTCCGCTTCAGTAGCCCAATGCGGGTTGGTTTTCCGAGGGTTGTGAACCTTCTTCCACTTGCAGGTTTCATCACGATGTTTTTCTGCACCAAAAAGGTCGTGGTAAATTTAAAATTAAATTTCGTACATAAATTCCGAGTAACTCAGAGGAGCGAGCCCGGATTCGAACAGTTATACCCTGATTTTCTTCCCTTGAATATGATAACTAAGCATTTATATTTTAATAAAAGTAAATGCAGCCGCGTGGCCAGTCAGTTAGCTAATTTACCACCACTCGCTCAACACGCGTTGACCAGGAGCAGAGACATTAGTGCCGTAATCCCGTGGGTCACATTATTGTAAAAGTTAAGCTTTGGAAAATTAAAAGAACCCAATAAATATTTTAGGAAAAGTTTTGTGAATTTTTTTAAAATGAATGGTGCTCACCGCCGCCTAACAGAACCAGCAGTCTCTGCTTTAGAAGCGATAGTTCAAGCCACCGCGGCTATATATTTTACTGTTATTATATTCCATTTTTAAATTTTTATTTCACACTTAGGTTCTATCCTTACCTTGAGAACTTAATAATATATAATAATAACGCACACACTCAACATAGCCCCACACTAGGGAAACCCTGTGTCGCGGGTGCCATGGACACACATAGACAACCACAAATTACACCCAAACTCACGAGAGAAATAAATGTAGGCCATACAAATATTTCTCCCGGCCCGGGAATCGAACCTGGGACCTCTGCGTGGCAGTCCGGCATGGTAACCGTTCGGCCACAGAGGCAGTTAACTTATTATTTATGTTCGGAATTTTTTTTCTATAAGCAATAGTAGGTGATGTAGTTATAAAATAAAGTAAATAAATACAAGAAATAAAAACGTCCTCTTTGTCTAAGGTCGGAAATAACTCATCGATATATGAAACAATACGAAATGTTGCTTGAAAATTATCTTTTTTGTTATAATACCAAGTGAAGATAGCCTGTCCATAACAATTGCAGTTCCACGCATAGCTTTAATCTAAAAGCCACTGCCAATGCGTCCGTCACTCTGAGACATAAGTTGATAAGTCCCATGTGCCTATAATTTCACCAGCACCCTTACCTTTCAGAATCGGAACGTATTGTTTATAATAGGTAAGGTAGTAGTACTTCCCTGAACAAACTCTTTCACAAGTTCTAATGTTAGGTATTAAAAGAATAAAGAAGGTACTCACAGTAAACATAGGACATTGTAGACATTTCGGAATAGGACTTTTGATATTATGTGAAACTATGGTTAAGTTTAAAACACAAATATGAGGCTTATTAAGTAAAAATTGCCTATAAAGAAGACTAGTTCACTGAGTCACTCCTGAACGCGAACAGTGCATGTAATAATCTACCATAGTGTCAATTAT